CTAAAGCTTATCTCATTTTCAGCCGAATGTCTGCGGGGTTCTTTAAAAAAACACATTTTTTCTTCATAAAATTGCTTATGTGTGTATAATTGTATGTAAATAGACTTTGCTTATGTAAAATAATTTTATTTGTTTTGTTGCTGTTTCTACAAATTCTTCTTAAGAAAACCTATCTAATACAATAATAACTACTGCAGAGTATGTCAAGCAAAGGATTCAAGAAAATTACATAAGAATCAGTCGAATTTCAAAAGCTTTTATTATGAATTTGGAAAAGGTAGCGGCCGTTGATTATAGATAGTAATGAAAGTTGTCAGTAAGAGCAAATTCAGTTTGGAGAATAAAGAAAGGAATACGAAGTAAAACGATAAGATAAAGAAGCTGTTGTATAAGGAAATGTAAGCAGGAATATAGGTGAGTTAATTGCACTGGACAAACAGTGTTTCAATACAACGTTAGTAAACATTGTGACCACTATATCCACCGAATCTTGATTTGCATATTAGTTCATGTTTTATCGAACCGCATCCGGATTAGCGATTAACGCGATTAAAATCCAAAAATGTAATCCGGGGATGAAATGGCATTATTTGTGATGAAGTTCTTAATCAACCTGAGAAACTGAATCGATTTAACTGACAATGAATATCCCTGGATATGGATAAGGTGGTGGCAGAATTTCATTAAAAACTTTAACGCTACAACTAAAGACATGTTGACCGATGATGAGGAGTCAATAAGCGGCAATGTCCATTTAAATCGTTTGATAATGTATGTAAATGTATTTAAGTGTGTCGCAAACGCAACTATATACTTAGTATATCTATCTTTCTGGGTTGGTGGATATAAAAAAAAAAAAAAAAACATTTGACACTAACTGCCAATTGCGTACAACGACTATCTTTAGATTACATCCGGTCAAAAGGATTGTTGTCGCCATTAGCGCAAAAATTCGGTCACTCCGCAAAATATATGTACAAAGAAATGTGTATTAACTTGTGAACGATTACCACATACATAGAAGTTTAATATTGATACTGCAACGGAAGTTGTTGTAGAATGAAAAGTGTTGGAGTTTCATCCTACAAAAAACCGTTTTATACGAACTTGACGATTTCTATTGAAATAATAAAATAGTCGTAATTAATTTTGAAATTGAAATTTAAATTGACAAATATTAATAAGACATATTTCTATTTGCGAAATTCAAAATTCAATTTCATACGCAACTCACATACACATACACACACACACACACACAAGTGCAAATTTAAAAGGCAGCTTTTGAGCTTTACTTCATGATGAAAGGTTCGAATTTTTTCAAGTAAGCCAAAAATTACCACCAACTCCGTCTTTCATAAGATTTATTTCAAATCTTATATAGTAACTGCCGTGTTTTGCTGGCTTATTAACAATCGATAATTCTCCTTTCGCTTAATAAAATTATTTCATTTCTTTTTGAAGAAAGGCAATTGTTTGCAAATTTCTTTGAACTCTTAACTTAACTTAAGCTATTATCCAATCGATTTATTTGTACCTACAATTTTGTCTATATTACATAAATATTTATAAAAAAAAAAAAAAAACTCTATACATATAATCCAAATAAATCGAGACAGTGAAAATATTTAAAGTTATTTTCTTAAGAAACTATAATTAGCTTAGTTAACGTACACGCTGCATAGAATAGGGGAAACAGAAATTTAAAATTTCAAGTTTATTTACATAGAAAATGAAAATGTTGAACTTGAATTTTTTTCATAATATTATGCAGTAACATTTACATGTTAAGATCTATGGCCTTGAGGGAATATTGTTAAATGTTAATAACAAAATGAGATTCTATTAAATTTGTTGTGCATAACCCAAGTAAGAGAATAAATTCAAAACTGTAAAAACTTAATGTTTACTTACTAATTTAACATTTAAGTGAGTTTTAAGGTTCGCAGAAATCTTAACTGCTGCTATCATATCAAGTGATAATTCTCACCAAATCAGCTGTTTTGCGTTCGCTTTGCTATTATTACTACTACTACTACTACTACTACTACTACTACACTACTGCACTGCAATGCAAACACTTTGTCACTTATGCTCTTTCGCTCTCTTATGTTTTTAAAACGTATTGTTTTCATATCGTAATGTTAAATTTCATTAGATTGCACTTTGCAAATGTATAGAGAAATCTTGTGTATTACAGAAGCACAACACTTTGCTGTTACTACACTTCTAACAATTTTAACAGTATAGAGAATTTTATTGCAAATATCCAGAGCCTGATATAGGTATATAAAGCTAAGCAGCTGACAATTTTAATTGCTACGTACTTGATTATAAATCAAAACATTTCCTAGATTTCTTTTTGCTGATTTACTCTCACAATACAAAGTCAATTTTACTCTCAAAAAGACATTCCTACCTTTCACAACACATTCTTACTTTCTCTCACAGCAAAGCAAATTGTACTCTCAGTACTCTCAGAAAGTCAACATTTTAAATAACTTTAAATAACATTTTCTCAAATTACTGTACACTCTATACGGCCTTATTATATTCTAATTTTAATGTACCGAAGAGATAAAATCATAATATTATATAAAAATGAATTGATACGAATTAAAAAGGAATGCATTAAAATGAAAATTGACCATATTTATCTGTATTTTTACTTTCACATATGTTTTTTAAATAATAAAATTTAATATTTTGACAAATTGAAATATCTGGAAAATAGCTATTGTTCAGACGTTCACTCATTCTTGTTACAATATTTAATTATAAATATTTATTACACTGTATTCAACATAATTTATTGCGACTATGAAACTTCCTTCTGAGTGTTGTAAACATTTACATGATATAAATATACCGCTCACCTCTAACTAATTAAACTAACATGTTCGTGCTTTGCAACTGTTGTTGCTCCAAACAGTGTCAGTTGATTCAGTCTCAGCAGTCTCAGTCGGTTCAGTTGGTTTTTTCTCTTTTTTTGGTATTGCTCCTACGGCTCTTACAGTTTGTACAGCTCCTACATTTCCTATAGCTCGCAGTCTCGTCAGTTGTTTTGAATGGTAAGGTGTGTAAATTTCTTATCGCGAGAGCTTGTGCGAAATAATATACGTAAATAAATAGTAAAAAGAAAACTATTAATACACAGTAAATACTTTTACCTATAATTAATTAATTAAATTAATATTTAGTGTTCTTAATATCGGTTATTTTTTTCTTTAAATTTCTTTTATTATTATTAAATATATATTGAAAATAATAATAAAATTAACAATTTTAATCGCAATTGAAAACTTTTCGAGTCAGGTTTGTGTAATTGAGGGATTAATTTTTGATCTTTTTTAAAAGATGTAATGTGTGTGTGAGATCATTTTAATGGATTTTAAAACATAATACAGCAAGCAATTGAAAAAGATCTTATAAACACGATAAGCACGATAAGAAATAAAAGAAATAACCAGTCGCCTTTATTATAATAATAATAATAATAATAATAATAATAATAATAATAATAAAAAAAAAAAATTTATTTTTTTTTCTATAAAATCAAGTGAAATATATAGTATATATTCATTGCTTATATAACAAACAAACGTCATACAATTTTAAATTATTGTAGATTTCTTACTTATATTTGGTTGACTGGCTACTTACGAGCAATTTAGAAATTCTGTCACGTCATTTCGTATCATTTGTGTTAATGTTGTTGCTCTTACTTACTGTAACGTTATGTTATATTTTAAAATATACAAATCAGAAGAAGAAAACAAACGTACATCTGCTTGGTGATGTAAATACACTTATATATGCAAATATGTTGTGTGTGCTCGTGTGTAAACGAATATTACCATTCATCGTGGCTTTCAAGCAAAAACGTAGCCGAATGGAAGCGAATTTTTAAATTAGTAGTAAAATGAAGAGAGAAGAAAAAATCAAAGCCTCTGAGTGTTTTGTATTGGCGTTGTTGTTATATTATGCTAATTACTTTGCTTATGCCATTGATTTTTTTTATTACATCTATTCAATGATGGCTTACATATATACCTCCTACCTCTTATGTGTGTTTGAGAACTGATGTTGTTCCACGACTTTGTGTTAGATTGCGTTTTTAACTCGTTACTGTTTGAACTTGGAATTAATATTCTCTAGCTTAGTAAAATAACAAAATTCCCATCAGATCAGCGTACATTTTGGGGTCTGTGTAATGTTAGAAAGCAAAGCGATGATCACTTCATAAATTTTCGAGTTTGTTCTTACACTCAATATAACGAAATTAAATTTTATGAAAAAGTGTCGAGCTCTTCATCAGTGATAATACTAGTTAATTCCAAAAATCGATAAAATGAAGTGATATGGACAAGGATAAATATATGGATTTCGATAGAAGAGGAGAAGGCTTCACGTATTTTAGAATATCTTAGACCTTCGAACTTTCTACCCGATCAAAATTCTCATAAATTGCAAGTTCAAATTTTTTAAAAGATTCTTGAACCCATTGCTATCTTAATTTGCCAATTAATTCAGAAAAGTTGACGATGCGCCCTTAGTATGGATGGTTAAAATTTATATCGCTAAGTTCGCTGAATTTTTCATTTATCTAAAACAAAAATAAAGACAAGATTAAAGGCAAAGAATCGGTAAAATCTCACGCACATATAAAACATTGGAAAGTCAAAAATGTCTTAAGCTTTCAATGGATCAATATTCCTATGATTGCTTCATTCATTACATTCAAAGATTTTATTTAAATTGATATTTCGAACCCCGTTGATGAAATTTGCTCTTGTTGTTTGTTGCCTCGTTCCAATTGTTTCGATAAGGAAAGCTTCGTAAATCTTTTTGAAAAAAGCCCTAAAATTATAAGTAAAATAATCATCGCGTATACCATAGATACGCCCTTGACCGTATAGAAATTTTATGCTTTTTCTTTCTATATTTATGTTTATATTATCTTAAGCAGTAAATTGTATTATTTTCTTGTTTAAAGTTTAAACTTCAAAAAAAAAAAAAAAAAAAAAAAGAAGAGAATAAGGAGAAAGCACATTTTTTTTTTTTTCAACATCAAAAACCAACGAAACTTGTAGTGAATCAGACGCAGTAGCGCAACATTTTCTTTGCGTTAAAAACAATACTTACTTACTCTAGTATTTTTACATGCGAATAATTTAAAAGACAATAAGTGCAAGAAAGAGAAAGAAAAAAAGGCAGAGAGAAAGAAAAAGAAAGAAAAAAAAGAAGAAGAAGTGAAAGAGAAAAACTGTCACACAAAATATAAAGTTCATATTTTGTTGCTGTTATTGTACATAAAATCCCTTGTGCTGAACGACATTTTTGGAGCAGTGCAGCAAACAGTGAACTCCAGCGGAGCCATCGTTAGAGTAGGTCAGGTCAGTATTATTTATGCATAACATTTATCATATATGTGATTGTATAAAAGTAATTTTCTATTATAGTTTTTTCTAAAGTTTTTCTTATCTTATTTTTCTTTTGATTTTTTTTTGTTTTAAAAAATTCTTCAGTTTAAATAGGATATGGAAGGCAACACAGTATAATGGAATTTCAATGAATATCAACCTCTCCATTTTACTTTATTTTTCACTCTTTTTGTTCATAAAAAAAAAAATAAAAAAAATACACGTGTAGATACGTAACGATACGTTGCATAGCGAAGCATAAGTTATTAGTGTTAGTTAGTTAATCTATTGCGATCTTCGTTTCGAAAATGTGTGTTAAAGAAAATTGCATTTATTTTCAAGCGAATCGTGGCCTTAACACAAGATTGTATATAAAGTCAGGCGTGGTTCAAGTCTGAAGACCGACATGGTGTTTGCTGATCCTTTATATCGACGTATATTAGTGTAAGTGAATAAGATAAAAAAAAAAAGAAGAAAATCAAAGACTCTAAGAGACTAAAGACAGACACGGTGTTTGCTGACCCTTTATATAGACGTATATTAGTGTAAGTGAATAAGATATAAAAACAAGGGTAAAGTCAATCTGTAGTCATTTTCAACTTTTTAAAGGATTTACATAATTGAGATAAAGATTATTTTATTAAAGTCTCCCAGTGATAAGGTAATTGCTAAGCAGTTAGGCGAAAAATCAAGTCTTCAGATTCATTCACATTGTACTGGTTTGTATTAATTAGCTTCCATACCGTCCTTTTTTTTTTTTTTTTGTATTGCTTGCTGGGCGCTTCTAACAAGAACGTCGTCGTTCCAAAATTATAGTGAACTACTCGACAATCCTTTGAACGTATTGTGTGACACTTGCTTTTTAAGGAAAACCCCTTTATTTGCTTCGAATGATTTTGAACAGAGGCGCATATATTCCACTGCTATTTATTTTCATTTCCTAAACATAAATCCAATATCTATGCCAAGATATTATATGTGCCTGACCATTCTCGTAAGTTTTAGTAATTCTCACACTATTTAGGCTTTTTTGACTTCTCTTCGAAAATCCGATATAGTCGGCTTCCGATATAGGCGGCTTCCGTTCATTTCTATGCTGGTATTCAGAAAGCCATAATAATAATTGAATTCTGACAATGTCTTGAGGAATTTTTCGAAAGAGTACAGCAATTGCGCACCTATTGGATTGCGTTTGACTTACTTCAGAAAATTAATCGTTTTTTTTTTTTTTTTTTGGTCCTTTCTAGCACTTGCACGCGCAAACTCTGGACTCGATTGTTATTTTTGTAGATTCATTCATTAACTTACTACAGTGTTCGGTTGTGCAGTTATTGAAGATCTCACTTTTCATAATCGTTAAGTTGAATCATTTTGGTTTGCTTATTTCACCACTATTACGCATGATGCGTCAACTGTAGATGTTTTCTGAAAGTGTAAAGATTGAACATTTTTTTAATTGAACGATTGTTCGGACTGATAATATGAATACGACTTTTCACCATTAAATGTTAGTGCAATACATAATGAATGTTAGTCATAACGATGGTTGAATACTTCGATTGATTGGATGACTACCTCATATGTCTATTCCCTTATCGTAAAAATGTTTGCTGCTTTGAGAACTGATTTTGGTTGTGCTTTGGTTTCGATTTCGGTTACGGTTTCGGCCTTAATTTGATTTATAATGTCACGTATATGTGGTGTTTGACTGCCAAGAATCAAATTAAATTTATATTTATATATATATTATATAAATTATTATTGACGAAATTTTCGAAATAACATAATTTCTGCACTAAGTGAAGTTTCCAACTTAATCGCGTTTTTATGACGAAAATCTCTAAAGTCGTGAATAATGCGAATAATATCGAATCTTACGACTTATGCCGGCTTTTAGCAACTTTATCATAAGTTTGTTAGATCTTAACAGATAATCGTTAAATCGAAGTTTCTCTAATACATTTTCAATTTCGTTATTGTGTGCCTGCTACTCACATTTCATTCATATTCCGTGCTATACATATGCACATATATTCTTCGTATTTATAAAAATAATTTTTATCAAATTTTTTGAATCTAAGCTTTCAGTTTTCAAGGTTTTCATTTATTTTGTTTTCGTATTGAAAACAAATATTCGCATTTGTTGTGCATGTAGTGGCTAACATTTGTATATATACATATCGTGTATATGTAAATAATGTGTGTGTGTGTGTGTGTGTGTGTGTATTTATAATAGTGTTATTATTTATAAATTTTTGTTGCCAGATAACCTTTTCATTAAGTTCAATTTTTGTTTTTTTCGTTTTTTCAATGCGTAAATATATAATTGTGAACACGAACTGATTCGTAGAGAGGAACAACGTTTCCTTCAGTTAAGGATATATAAGGAAAATAAAATGAATTGAGGTCATCCATAAATCATTTCTTGACAAAAAACATTAACATAACATTAACATTCAAGTTTACAAGAGATATACACATTAAAAACTTTACTGGTTTCCTACTCGTCATAAATGTATTAACTTTTATAGTTAAAACTATGTCTTTTTTTTTTTTGACTTAATGTAAACCGGGGAAGGCAGAATGTGTTCATATATCATCCTCTTAGGGATAGATATAAGTATAAGTAAAAATGTGCCTGCACTCTATACGTATCCCTCAGAAGTATGCGTTTGAGATTCCAGGAAGGAAGGGTATATGTAGTCAAGCATTGTTCAATTTCTTATTCGATTTTCATAGATGAGAGAAACATATTACGCACTTATTTTCAGTAAGGTGAAGTTCGATTTGATTGCTAGCATCGGGAATTTGGGAGTTTCACGCTCTGAGGGATACTCCAGATATTCTGGAATATATATTTGGTATCGAATTTAGGATAGATTTCAGCTTTTCCGTCCATTCGTCCGTCCGTCCGTCCCTATGTCTATCTATCTCGCAGAGCGAAAAATTGGAATACATCGTCCCAATTAGGCAAAGACAATGGAATTTGTGGCGCATCGGTTGACATTGAAAATAGGCAAATCGTGCAAAGGGCACACCTACAGTTCAATATAAACTGCAATTATTTATGTTTTCAAAATGAAAAAGGAAAAAAGGGCTTTTTTCGCATTACTTAGAAACTAAAGTGACAATAACGATAAAAATCGTTTGCGTATATTCCACGAGCGATCTGACAATGCAAAATGGGCCAAGCAAACCCATCTGATATTAAAATTTTATTTATTTTTTTCAAATATAAAATTTATATATATATAAAATATATCAAATTCTTTAGCATATGTGAAATATATCAATGAATGCCATTTTTTTATTTCTTCACCCACATGATTAATTGATCAATTGCCTAAATGCGTTATGAGTCAGAGTAACCTTAAAAAAAGAAAGAATATTTTTTATTATATTACGTTAAACCTGCGATCATTTATATTTAAAATGTTTACTTGCATTGTGTACTCCTACTCAGTTAAGTCGATCTCGAAATGGTGACATGGACAATGAACTTTGGTTTCCTTTTTTTTTTTTATTGTTATATACGACCAATTAGTCAGAAAATCTTCCCTATATGTATAACACGTTGATGGTCAAAAAGAAGTGAACAAAGGGGAAAAGATATCGAGTGGTTGTAGTCTGATGAGTGCGTGCCTACTCGATAAGCGTTACGCCATTACTGACTCAGTACTCATTGCTGCGGCCAGATATGCTTTACCGTATTGAGATTTGAATCCGCGAACACTGACTTCGTAGACACGATTCGTATCCGCCCCACTACATCGATGTCTTCTGGCATTTTTCAAAGTTTTTTTGCGATTCAGTGACTGAGAAGCTACGGATTACTATCAAAGACATTATAAAGGGAATATTTGTTGGCGATTGCACTGCGTTTTCACGCGAAAAAAAATCGGAAAAATCTTTTGTTACTTTAGCTATTAAAGTTTGGTTTTGAAATTATGTCATGTTCTTATTCTTCTTCCAAGTTGAACAATAAAAAAGAAGACGAACAGATGGACTGGCGGACGGAGGGACAGACAGGCTTAGATCGGTACAATAAAAGGTGAATCAATCTGAAGGCCTTCTGGATTTTGCATGAGTTCGCACAAATTTAATTAATACTCGTACCACAAGTGAAATAAGGTATAAAAACGAACACTTCTAAAAGACGGTAATTGCTTTGTTACGCATTAGCTTATAGTTAATAATTTGTTAAATTCCTATATAATATTTAAAAAAACAAAGTTGACCGATATATATGGTCATTACAATCACCTTATCATAGCGTGTCTCTGTCGAATTTTTATATGCTTTCCTTTCTATAACGCATAGAAGATCAGATGGCACAGGTGGGAAGGAATCACCAGAAGTATGAAAAACAAAAAGTTTTTTAGAATTTCAAAAATCTTACTTAAAGAAAAAGAAAATTTTTTATTTCCACTTTTGAAATGGAATTTTCTTAAATTAACTTTAATCTTATAATACTGCGTCTTATCGTGACTTTCTTCTTATTTTCTTTCTCCCTTACCGTGAAAGTTAAGAGAAAAATTGACTTAAGCGATATTTGATGAACTTTCAATTTGACTTATTCAGAGTTTAAAAGGCACTATCTGTAAGCTTTGCGCTGTCTGTGTTTCGCGTTATTCCGTTCTTTGGTATTAGTGTCATTATCGGTTTATTAATAGAGAGAAAATATATAATGCTATGAATTTATTTATTATTATTATTTTTTTTTTTTAACTTTTTTTTTATTCGGTTTAAAAGATGCAAAAAGAATAAACCAAAAAATTTTTCCTTAAAGATTTTGCGAAAAAGTTTCTATTCTGTTCTTGTCGACTTGTCATGTTGTTTTGTTCGACTTATCTTTATGCAAGGATTGCGAAATTGCTTCTATGCAGCGTATATATATATATATATATAGATATGTGTGTGTGTTTACGTAACTTTAAATTTTCGTTTTCTTAGCATTCTTTCAGCGATTTTCC